CGGCCTCCCAAATGCTGAGATTATAGACGGCCACCGTGCCCGGCCTTGGAATGAGTCTTGAACTACAAATAGAAATTCATTTGATGGTATTGTGTTATAATCTTTGATCTTTAATTTCTATTTTCCGTTTTTCTTGTTTTCCCCTCTTGTTACGTTATCTTCCTGTCTTATCCCTAACATTAATAAATATTTTAAATTAACATTTCACCGTTGGCTGTGATGTTTGCTACAGTACATTGTTTGTGTTCAAAAGTCAGATAACTGTGGCATTCTTATAAAAATGGGATTAAACTTCAATTGAATTTGAATCTAGGTAGGGTTCTAATTATTTTAGGCACATTTTCACATAAGGACTGTATTTACTTGTAGGCCAATGTAAGAAAAACTTTTATTTCTTTCCTATCATTGTCCTTTTTCCCATTTCCAAGGTCAGTGTCTGATAACTGCAATAGATTTTAAATTTATCTTCAGTTTCTTCACTGGAGTTCAAGTAATCTTTGTAACATTCCAATTTTCATATCATATGCCTGCTTTAATGACTTTTATTGTCTTCATTAAGACAGTAAAGTCAAATTTCTTTACATGACTTTGTGATTAGCCTCATGTTTACCTTTCTACTTTTCATATCTTGCCATTCCCCTCCATGTCATATTATTGTCTTGAAAGTTTCATACTCTTTCTTATCTCCACAACTTTGCATATGTCCCTTTGTCTAAACAAATTAGGAATAGAAGGAAACTTCCTCAGTCTGAAAAAGGGCATTTATAAAAACCAATAGCTAAAATTGTACTTAATGGTGAAATATTAAATGCTTTCCACATTAAGGGGGAGAGTAAGACAGGGATTCCTATTTTCATGATTTATATGATTTATATTAAGCACTGTATTTGAATTCCTAACCTGTGAGATAAGGATAAGAGAAGATATAAAATATATAAAAATCAGAAAGGAATAATAAGAATGTGTTTTCAGATTACCAAACAACTACTAAAACTGGTAAGTGAATATAGCAGGATATACAGTCATTACCCAAAAATATACTAGAAGTAAACAATTGGAGAAGTACGTAGCAGCAAAAAACACAAAATACTTAGAAATAAATTTAAGCCAAAAAACCCTACAGATCATTGCTAAGAGAAAAGAACCACTCCCCCCAAAATCACGAAATATATTGTGAATTCTATCAATTTAGTGTTCTTCTAGTCACAGTGGCAGCAGGCTTTTTTGTATTTCATTCATATGGAATGCAAAGGACTGGCATATCCAAAGCAATCTTGAAAAAAGTTGAAGCCCTATGTGGTGGTACACTCCTATAGTCCCAGCTACCTGGGAGGCTGAGGCAGGAGGATTGCTTGAGCTTAGAGGTTAAAGCCTGTAGAGTGCGATGATCGTGCCTGTGAATACCCACTGAACTCCAGCCTGGGCAACATGGTGCGACTTTCTCTCCCCCACAAAAAAAAAAGAACAAATTGGAAGAATTGCACTACCTGTTTTCAAGATTTACTATAAAGCTTCAATATCAGGCTAATATAGTACTGGCTTAAGGAAAGACAAATACAGCAATGAAACAGACTAGAAAACCCAGAAACAGATCCATACTTAAATAATAATTTCATTTTTAACAAGGTAGCAAAGCAAATAAATGGAGAAAGGAAAGTTTGTTCAGTAAATGGTACTAAAAAAAAATGGACATCTTTATGGAAATAAACTTCCATACACCAATATTAATCTGAGCCGATACCTAAATGGAATAGCTGAAACTATAAATATGTAACAGAAAACATAGGTGAGTATCTTTACAACTTGGGGTACATTAAGACCTTTTCTGACATGGCCCTTAAAAGTAATTATCATAACAGAAAAATTGATAAACTAGATATCATCAAAATTTAAAACTTTTATTCAAAAGACACCATTAAGAAATGAATAGCCAAGCACAGACTCAAAGAAAATAACCACAATTTTATGTCTGACAAAGGAATGATATCCAAAATAAGAAAATATTGAGGAGAAAATATTCACAAAACATAGATTAGACCAAAAAAAAAAAAAAAAAAAAAAAGATATCCAAGCGTGGTGGGCTGAAAAACATCCTTCTAGAGATGTCTGTGTCCTGTTGGGCATAGTGACTCGTGCCTGTAATTCCAGCACTATGGGAGGCCGAGACATGTGGATGTCTTGAGCTCAGGAGTTCAAGACTAGCCTGACACGGTGAGACCCCATCTCTA